ACTGCGCTGGGATAATTCTGGAAAGTGCTAAAACTGGGACTGACATCAAGTACATGCTCAGGTATCTTCCTCAATATGAATGGCTATAAGTGAACATTCAGGAGACTTCCTACATTAGGAACCTTGATATTCCCCTCAGAAAGCAAAGATTCCCTATCAAAGATTTCTCCATGAGCAGTTTGCCTTTTAAATTTGTCTAAGAAAAGCACTTTGCCATAGGACATTTTGTCCAAACCAGCTGAAGGCAAAGGGACAGCTTGCTTGATGATGTGATTAATTATTTACATTTCATTCATGCTCCTCTTAAGGTATGTAAAATAAATTGAAATTAGGCTGAATTAAAGCCATTCCTGAATCTAGTGCACATACTACCTGGCTGACTCACCAGACTAGTCTTAAAAGGGGCACTGAAAAATCAAAACTACTTTCAGTGCTATAAAACTAAGTATTTTGATAACTCATAGAAAGCAGAAAAGAAAATTTAAGACTTGTGCCATATTTTCAGGATATCCAAAACTGAGTTCACATTCTTCTTTGAAACTGGCACTTTAAGCTATCATTTATTTTTACAAGCCTGTCACTCTACTAAACGATGTTTCAAGGAGACATGTTGTATTTTCCCAGGTTCAGCAAGAAAGCATGTCCATATATTTTGATATAATTAACTCGGTTTTGTCTTTAAGAAAACACACTATAACTTACAGTCATGTTCAAAGCTAGGAATGCAGTAAATAAGGATTTATTTAGTTTCACATTCTGAGAAGAAAATATTTGGAGAAAGAAGTAAGGGAAAAACTGGTGCAGAACTTGGAAAATTCAAGTTAAATTCCTGCCTGAAGGATCTGAACCCATGTTGCTATCACTCAGACAAGTTCCCTCTTCACTACAGCAGGAAATTCCATTGATATCAACCTTTACTTTGGAGTTCCTCTCACAGCAATTGAGAGAAAAACATGACAACACTCAAGTGGTCAGGACATGCTTTGTAAAGTGCAAGGCCCACATTAAAATCTGCTGTTGTGTTGCAAAGAGGTTAGGAACCAGAGCCCTCAGCTTCCTTCTTGAAATGCTCCCAGCTCTTGGGTATCTCTAGTCGATTTGTTGTTTTCCCCAAAAGGATACTCATGAAACAATGTCAGAGATACTGATTTCAGGAATACCCTTTGGAAATAAAAAGAAAAATTGAAGAAAGTAAATCTTTTAAGAAGAAGAAAAAATCTTTAAACCCAGTTCTTTCCTGTGGCACTGCAATTTACAGACCACAGATCTGCTCCTGAAGGTATTGCAAGGAGTAGCAAAGCTGTCACTGAGATGGACTGAAAATGATTAGGACTTGTGCCTTAGGCTTATTAGATAATTCACTGCAGTTTCTCTTTACATGTTACACAAACTAAATTACAACTTTACCTTTCACAGTCTGATCTACAAAATACTATTCTAATCAGTTTTTAATGCACTGGTTCAAACTCAAAAAGAGGCATGAAATCAATTGGATCTTGAAGAAAAATATGGACATCCTCTACAAAGACCCAGGCTGCATACCTGAAATCTTTAAATATAACTAGAAAAGCAAGAAAAGGCTAAGAAGGGAAATAAAGATTTGAAAGAATGGTGAACTTGGATTCCATTAAAAAGTCTTGTCCAATCCATAAAAGTATGTCACTGACAGTTGATGAGAACACAAGCATCAGAACCAGAGTCCTATGAAATAAGCACATACTCAAAACAAAGGTACTGCAAAAAGCTGACAGCAATCATATTATAGAAGCTAACCAGAGAAAATAAGCAAGCTTGATGCATCAGGTATGCTTGTATGTCCCCTCCTTTTTGCCACAAAGAAAAATAATCTTGAGTCTGTTTTAAGGCAACAGATTGAAACTTCTTCCTCACAACAGAACTGAAAAGAACCAGCACTGCAGCACTGTTCCACTTAGATATGCTCAGAGTCATCAGCTGCACAGTGGTATTTGTGACATAAATCAGTCTGCAATTAATAAACAATTAATAAAGCTTATATATTTTTAAAATATCTTCTATTCTTGTTTAATTAGCTGTATTTTTGCACTGTATGAAAACAACTCAAGAAAGCTCCTTTGCATGTAGCCAAAGCTATTGTTATGGAAAGCAGGTATAAGTCATTTTAATTTATGAGAAGCAAGAAGGAATTTTAAGGGGCTTCTTATAAATTAACTGCTGGAAACTAGATGACTGTAAGAGATGGATAAATTACTGCAAATATTTTCACCTGAAGTCTTTCTTTTTCTTCAGTCATTTCAAACAATACATCTCATTGTCTTTCAATCACAGAATAAAACTGAAGGAACAGCTTTCAGAATTGCTTTAACTCAGCCATGCTTTGTCTCATTCAAAGATATGAAAACCATTACAGACCAGGTACAAGTCATTTAAAAACTATTTGTTTCAAAAGGGACTGGCCTCTTACAAGATGGGAAGGAATTCTGAAAAGATCATCCTTTCCTCGCTTGAATCTAATTCCAGAAAGGTTTCACACCTGACTCTGTGCCAGTTAACACTGGGGACAGGGAAGTCTTGTTTTGTGGAGGTGAAGCATGTCTTCAGGTTTTATTTCACCTTCCCCTCATTCTGCATTCATATGCACACCTCTGCCTTCTCTCACTCCCAGCCTCGGATGCTTTGGAGGGTACAGACAGCTGCCTGAAGCACAGCTCCCAGCTTGTGCTTCGCATCTAAATTGTCCAGTAGACTTGCAAAACCCTATCAAATATTTCTGCCCGAAATGGCAGGTAAGGTCACTCTTTTCTGGACTTAACCAATGGCTGTGGGATGTTTTCCCCCTAGAATAAACTGCAGTATTAAGGACAAAACAATCAGATACAATCCAACATTTCAGGCAAGATTTGCTCCAGTGAATTTAGACCAGTATATCTAAGGTTTGGACTTTATTCCAAGCAGACTCTAATACAGAGCAAGTTCCAGGATGAAACAATGGAAGCTACAGGTATGTCTCACTAAAAAACCCTGTGGCTTTCACCCCACTATACTGAAACACATTCCCATTCTCAAACACAGGAATAAGGCATATGCCTAGGACAAAGCCAGGCAGGACTGCTCAGCAAAGGGCAGGCTGGTTCTCAGTCTGTCCCCACCACATGTTCTCTGCTTTACCAGCTGTAAAAGCATGAATTTTAAAAAAGAGCTGTTCCAGTATATTTCATCTTCTTATTCCAAACTTCTTCCCCTTTTTCAACTTCCCCCACCTTTTTAACTTCCAGATCAAATCACAGAGTCCCAAGACCTCATCAGCAGAGAATGTCTTATTGGTCAGTTGAGAAGAACTAAGACTGCCAACTTGTCCCCTTTTCTCCCAGTCTGGAGCAATGGAGAAGAGGAGCTTTGCCTAAGCACAGGCTCAGGGGTTTCCACTCATCACCTGGCAATTCTGCCCTTAGCTGCCATAGTCACAATTATTCCCTCAAAAAAATAAAACACACAAGGGCCCTTTAGAATTAACAACAACTAAACCAAATACCAAGTGCTTATGAGTTCCAGAGTGGCTTTGAGTAAATGAAGAATGAGGAGCACCAACAAACATTTACTAAATAGTTGTGCATAATTAAAGTTGAAGCAGTAAATACTTGGTCCACCACAGTTTGATGTTGAGTATATTAGCAGGATCAAAAAAAGCCTTGAAGAGCTATCATGCAGCACTGCCTAATGCAGCAGATGGACAAGGCCCTTAGGTGGACAGTTATAGTGACTCTGCTGCATCCAGTGTATCTGTTGACACATCTATTTCACACTTTGTCAGTTTGATTTCAGTGGTTTCATTAATAACTTTCATAAAGAAGAAGTTCCCCTATCCCCCAACTGTTTGAGTGAGTGTCTGAGTGAGAAACATCCTTGTGAGTTAGCAGGTAGTAGCTTTTGAATCACAAGGACTTGAGTCTTATGTTGGGGGCTAGTTTAGAAGAAGGTAAAAGGTAATTATTATCCTGTGTATAAGCAGCTTCAGGAAGAGAAGTAACCACGTGTGAAATTCTCCTCCCACTCTAAGTTAGAAGTCTAATTACCATAGATTTCACTGCCCTAGTCAATCACACCTCACCAGAGGACTGGTTTTGCTAAAGCTGATGCTCACCTGGGACATCCTGTTTATGGCTTGAATTCAGAAAGGTACTTATGCATAACCTGAGTTCATCATTTTCCTGAAAAATCATAATCTCGGCTTTAGCACCTCAAGCATGAGGTACAAAAAGTGTGCACAATACAACACAGTCTTAGACTTCATTAGGATGAATGTTAAATACCACTATTCATGTCTTATTGAATGCATTTCTTTAGTTCAGGATTGTGATTATTAATGCTATTTTAACAAGCACATTGATGCCAAAAATAAGCCAAAAGGAAAAAAAAGGCAATACATACTTTAAAGAGCTGCTTTTATATCATAAATATGGCTGCATGTCTTATATGTTGACAGAATATTTTAAAAATAAATAACTGTATACAATAAAGGATCCAATATTGAAATATGCTATGTACCCATAAATTCTCTTCAAGTAACAACAGAAAGTCAGATGATAAATGCAGTTAACATTTCTGTCAACTGTTTCCTTTCTGCCTTTTGTTAGTTTTTATATACTAAGCCATATCTCTTTGGTTGCACACCCTTTCCAGGGCAGACAAGACGAATGATTATGTGTGGCTGCACAACACTTCAGGTGATTCAGAAAACAAAACAGCTTATCACAAATGAAGTACAGATCTGTTCCAGTCACAGTTAGGCCTTAGATTATAATACATTGCTATAGTTGTATTTTAAAGCAAGATTAAGCTCAAATATTTGGCTCATAATTCATCCCCAGAAAAGCACCAAGTTCACATATTTCTATTCAGCTGTTTTCAGGATGAAGGCTGAAAGCATCAACATGATTCCTATGCATCACCTTGAGGAGAACAGTAAGAAAAATGTGATAATGTGTGCAGTAAGGTAAAGCCATAGGATTTTCCAAACATACCTGCTAACTGGATGATGCCATGTCTTGCAACATCATAGTAGGGGTGATTGATATTTAGCTCAGGATCCTCAAGTGGTGGAGGCATAAACGTTTCTTCCTGCTCTGACTGTGTATCATCTGCTTCATCTTTCTGCAGTTCTAAAGGAGAAAGCAAGAACACTTAAGTGCTCATGAACAGAGAAAAACCTTTGTCTCCAATACATTACTGAAGGACTGAATTTTAGCTCTATTAGAAAAAACACAGGCCTTTATCACTATTTGTTGCAGTTATTCTTTACCCTTTTTCTTGTGCAGGAAAAGCAACCCTTCTATATCTCTCAAATCCACCTTAAGATTTATATCTATTGTGATGCTCACGCAAATCTTGACAATGACTGGACAGCTGGCATGTTGTGACCTTGCTATTCATGACTGAGGTGTTGTCTCATCATTTTTTACACTCCCTCAATCTGTCTGTATCCATCTACAACTTCTTGACTTTTATTTCCAGGTTGCCCAAACGAAGAAGTCAAAGTTTCATTTCGCTGCTGCATGCATTGACAGCTACTCCACATTAACACCCTGTGTGTATCCCCTGTGAGAACAGACTCATCACTTTACAGAAAGGTAGCAGATTGTAAACAAATCTCCATCTCACCTTCCCCAAAATCCACAGTTCCCTTGAAAACCTTTAACCTTCTGAACTTGGAAGAGACAAGGCAGCCAAATGTCCATCCAGCATATGCTCCAGCTAGAGGCCAAGCAGTTGTAAAATTCTCCTCAAAAGCCCAGTAAAATCCCAGGCAATGGGCATCCTTCCTTCCCCCAGATGCATCAGATTCTGGACTAGATCCTAGAATTAAAACCTACTCTGTACTGAAATGAGCAACACAATGTTAATTGATCTAGGGTTTTGTTTCCCTCAAGTTTTTTTCCAAACTGTTGTGAGGTTCAAAAAAACCTGATGCTAAGGACATATCCAAATGAACAGAATCTGGGATAATTACCATCACTAATGCTTCTACACTATTCAACATTAAATTGACATCCTTGAACACAAGTGTCTTAAGAGAAGAAAAGGCACAGGTAAAGAGAGAATTAATGTTCTGATAAAGTGCACCCCCTGTACATCATCCATCTCTTTCATCCTGCAGGTTGTATTAAGGTAGAATGAACACTTTTATCTATCAGTTTGGACACTTCTAAGATTGAGCTGGACATGGTGCTAGGCCATTTTGTCTAGTCTGTGATTTTGCTAGGCAAGGTTGGACCACATGATCCTTAAGATCTTTTTCTATCCTGGTATTCCATTGTTCTGTGATCTATAACATTATTAATGCCACTTTAAAAGTACTTCTAGAACATTCTGTCTTCTCATCATCTGCATATTTCATGTGCCTTGACCACCATGCAAGGCACACTAGGGCAGAGAGGATATATTAAATATTGATTTCAGTCAGATTTATGTGCCAGTAGCTAATAAGTGTTAGAGAAAAACTCATACTAAATATTTCGGAATGCTTTCCACTCACGAGTTCTCAGTATCTTTCTATCCTGCAAACAGCCACATGAAAGCTTTATTGTCTCATTTTTATTTTTAACGTGATTTGTACCAAAAAGGCATATCACAAGGATGAAAAATGCCACTGGTGGCTGAGCTTCTCAAAACCACAGAGGAGTCAGGAACACGTGTACAATTTTACATTTCTTGATGTCTGAATTCACGTAAAAGACCCCTCAGAAAATAAATCAGCAGTCAGGAAAAAAAAATCTGCCTTTAGAAATACACCATTAGAGTCCTCTTCATACAGAAAAAAAAGTTTAAATTCTTATTTTCTCTAAAATGTGTATTTATCTACTTTTTAAATGTTTATCATATATAACAAGCTGCACTAACCTTAACTGGAAAGGTATTAGTTCACTTTAAAGAATGTTTTTGTCCCACAAACTGGGAAGAATAATATTAATACAAACATATTGCAGTAGATAATTTCCACATTTTTATCTTTTTTGAAATACTTGTTACATTAAAACTCAGAACAAGGAAAACACTATTTTGTTTATTAGGGTTTTTGCCTTTTTTCCCACCTCATGTCTGAGCACTGTAACCACCTAAAGGAACAAAAAGTTTAAAAGGTGAGAGAGCAAAAGAAATAGCAGATGTTAGTCTGTGGGGATGTGAAGCAGGATCTGTAAACCATTTACCATAATCCACTGAAACATAACAGGTGTTATTAAAAGTGAAATGTATATTCAAGCTAAACACAACAGAAACAACCAATCTGGCTCTGAGATGTGCCTAAGAGCTAGAGAAGCAAAGTAAATACACACACCCATTTTTACTGCACTTACTCACAGGGACTAAAGAAGTCCCAACAATAACTGTAACTGCTGAAAAGCTCAATAGCCCTGACCTAGTAAGATAATTCTATCTTCTTTTTCTTTCTTTTTTTTATTTTATTTTTTATTTCTTATGTGTGAACAAGGCGACTGGAGCTCAAGAGATTTTTTGTAATAAACCCAAATAAGAAAGAAAATTCAATGTTCCAAACTGAGGGAGATCTCAGTTCTATTTTTCTTCCTGCAAATGATAGAGGAGTTTATTGCCCTGCTTCACGAGCTATAGCAGAGGATCATCTGTTTCTACTCACACCATTATTGCTGTGTAACCCAGCCTGGGACACAACATGAGGGGCCTGATCCAGAGCTTGCCAAGGCTGAGAAGGAAAATTGCTTTCCATGGATTTTGAATCAGTCCCTAGAGCAAAAAGGCCAGGCAGCTGCTCCTGAAAGTCATGAAGTGCTGATACGAGAGCCAAGGTGAGGGACAGGGAAAGGCAGGCTGAGAGGAACACAGGGGTAGGGGAGATCTGCAAGGCCCGTGCTCTGAGGTTCAGCCTGGCATCTTCAAAAACTCAAGGGAAAAAACAAAAAGTAATGCTGATCTTTCAAAATGATGAGGCCCTAATGCCATGGTCATATTGCTCCACTCGATTAACATCTTTGGAAATAACATGCAATACAGCAATCTCTGTGCTCATTCAATACTTGTCTGCTTGGAGTAATGAGTCCCATTTGTGCCACAACATGTGATGATGGTGATATGCCAATAGCCTAGAATTGCACTGGGAACATCTACCAATAATTCACAAAAGCTGCATGTATTAAACTAACCTTCAACCCTAATGGCTTTAATAGGGTACACATCAGTACAGAGGCTGTAACTCATATTGGATTGCTCCAAGAAGTATTACAAAATGTTGGCGAAGCCTCTCACATACTGAAGATGCTCCATTAAATCACCTGTAACTCTACACAGATGCCATCTGAAGTATAATAAAAAATATTTACCTATTTCAGCTAACTTCTCATAGTCAATCTCAGACATGTTTCCCCTTAGGAACAAGTCTAGGCAGACCTTGCTAACGGATTCTTGCAGGATGAAATGGTCCTTGGGTCAGCCCTACAAAAACAAACAAGAGTAGCTGTCATCACCACGTGGCATATTTTACTCACTATGCAGATATAAAGAGTAAACAAAAAAACACCCTGGAAAATCCCACACCCAATTGTTGTAGAGGAAAAACCTCGTCGGCATTTAGCCACCATTTTCTTACAATATTGTTATAAAAGCATTTTAAAACAGAAATCCAAAAAAGGAAAAGCCATGCATTAAGAGCTTGAACAAACTGACCTGTTTTTATTTCTGGGGGATTGTTCCTCAAAATATTTATATATTAAACATTTTTAATGACAAACATCAGAATTTCCAATTAATTCACTTGTGGAAACAACTTCAAACTTAATTTTTTCTTACTGTAGATGATAGATACACTCCATACCCTCACACCAAGTCACTTATTCTACAGCAATTCTGTTTTATTACAGCAAACATTCTGTACCTCACATTCCACATGAAAGAGCTTAATGAAAATTTCAAGTGAGCATTAACATACAAAAACTTGAAAAAAACAGCAGTTCCTGTGCATAATTACTGCTTTTTGTCAAGCGCTCTGCAGAGTACTTTGCAAACAGAATACTAAGGAAACACCCAAAGTGAGCATCAGGAGCAAACAACAGGATTTAAAAGATCTATTTCCCCAAGCAGCTGCTCCAAAAAAGCCAAATGAGTACTTCTCTTACATTAAAAACCCAGGCTTGGGTGTGGAGGTGAGAAAGAAAATGAGCTGCTGTAACTCTCCTTTGAATTTAATTTAACCCCTCCTGGTTTACACCAGTTTGATTTCACCTGAACATGTTAAATAAAAACAAATTGGGTGGTTGAAAAAAGGCATACACTCGAGTCTTCTCTGCCAAGAGGTTAGATTCTGTGTTGCTACTTCAAATCACTGAAACTAGGAAACCATCTTGCACCAAGAAAATACCAGCTTGCCTGCTTGCAAACCACTTAGATTTTCAAATTTACCAATTATTTTATAACAATCTTACTTGTTTCTGGTTGAAAATAATGATCTCCATTTAGAAGAAACAATTTAAAAGCCATACACACAGGGATCAGTCCCATTAAGTTCAATACTTCATTGATATTCCAACCAATTAATTTCTTTTATTGATAAATATAGCTATTTAGATGTTTCTAAAATTAACAATTTGCAAACAGTGTGATAATGCATTTTTTGTAGCAACTAATCTACTGCAGATGATTTACTAAGTGACATGATCTGCCCATAAGTACTTGGTGTATTATCTGCTCATGTGCACCTGTGACGGTCAGGAATAAATGGGACATAAGCATCTGCTTCAAATGAACAAAATTTAAAAATGTTTATGAAGCAAAGCGTAGCTGCAAAAAAAGGAAAGTTTTTTCTGTCTTATCTGAAAAATTTTCTCCTGACAGTGTTTCTTAGACAAAATGTTTCCAGTTTGTAAGAGTGTAATGACATGGGGAAGTTTTCAAGGGGCTACCAATTCCACCTGCAGCTCACACTTGTGTGCACACCTGAGCCTGCAGCTCCAGGCAGGCCTCTCTGCTCTGTGCTCAACCTGGAACTTGACCACAACAAGCTCTTTGTGACTTATTTTTCTGTTATGTGTTTCCATAGAGCTTCCATCGACTGCCACCTGCATTCAGCCAAACTTAGAACAAAGAAAGCCAATGTTCAGTATATCTGATCTTCACAGACTTCATCCCAGCCAAGTATTTCCCAAAGCTCTTATAAGGAAATGGGGCTCTACCTTCTTCTAAGGTACCTATTTACACCAGGCCTTTCCAACCTATTGTATTTTAAACATAAATCAGAAATCAAATCATAAGCCATCAAAATTAGGCTATATCTTTGACACTAGAATGCTTTTCCAGTGATGTGAGTAATGAAAGTCTGAATCAATTGATGAAAGAGGGAAAAAAGCCATCTCCTTGAGGCCCTGCTCGAAGGAAAACAAAATACAGCCCTTCTGCTACATAGCATGGAACAAAAAAACAATTTCTCCTTCGTACTAATTGCTAATGCTACAGTTTGAAGTAGTGGCTCAATCTAAAGAGGGCAGATTTAAATCTCTGCCGAAACCTGCTGAAAAACATCTGGCTTTGGAACAGCAAAGTTACTGTACAAGTGAGAGCAACTATGATAACATTAAAACATTTGCAAACATTTAATACACAAAGTTCCTAGGAAGCTAGAAATAATTTAGATGGAATCGAAGAACAAGGGGAGTGGGGAAGAAACCATCTGTCTGGTTTGCAGCTTACTCTTCCCTTGGGGTAGCAATTAGAAAGTTTCCAGTTACGAGACAAATTTAGTGTAGCACCCTCAGAAATTGATTTCCCGTTGACCGCAGCATTCTCTGTTCCTGGGAGATAACATAATCTCCTTAATAGCGTTCCACGCCACGTATCACTGTTTCTAGTAAACTGTCAGATTTAGTGCCTTCCCCCACTCACCCCACCAAAAAGGCAATATAAAAAAAAAAAAGCCCTGAAAAGAGCCAAACTACAAGCCTTTTATTAATAACAGAAATTTGGAAGTATTTTACAAAATACCACATGCTATATTCCTCCACAGGCAAGGTTATTACTTACTGACATCCCTAAAAGAGTATTACTTTAGTGAGAATGAAGGCAGTCACGCAGGCAGAACTGCTTGATAATGAACTCACATCTACAGAGAGCCCAAACAAAGGCGAGGGATTCCTCCAACATTTGTCAAGGCACAGGCGTCTTTGATGCCTATTCTTTTTGTTCACTCAGCTGTCAGATATGTTCTCCTTCAAATTTAAATAGTGTGGTTTCTCTTCATTTTTTTCCCCTGATGTTCTTGCCTTGCACTGATATTCTTTGTTACTTTTAAACAGCGTGACACGGCTCACCGTGTAACACCAGTCTGCAATTTACATTTTGATAGGATGAGAATGCTGTGTAAAGCCAGTGTCTACTAAGGGGTATCAGATACAAAACCAGGTAAAGGGGTTTCAGGAGATTATTTTATTATTTATAATACTGCAGAAAATTTGCCATGGAATTTATAAACACAGCAATGCATGAGCTGAGTGCGTAACGTTCTCGTGAAAAATGTATTCAAACGTCCTCCTCTTCTTCCTGTAGGTTGTCTGACCTAAACAGTACTTTTCCTCAGTGTATTGCCTACACAATTTCTACCAAACCCCAAGTCCATATTTGCCTTAAGCAGTTGGTTTCAAGTATTTGATATAGTTTACTTTCATATTCTTTACTGACCTACCATTCTTCATAGGCAGTAAGTTGGTGGAAATCAGCTAAGACACTGCACAGCAAATAGAGACCAAGAACTGCCAGCAGGAGTGCACAGGGCTGTAGTCCTTTGGGCCTCTCTCTGCTGAAATAATTCAGCAAATTTGAAAACAAATGCCCAAAGAATTTGAAAGGTAATGGCACATAAGTTGGTAAATTAGCATTTACAGTTAGATTATTTTGAAAAGTTCAAAGCAAGTTTACAAAAGGTTATACAACTACGTATGGATATTCTGATCAACTTTAAAAGCATAATTGCAACTATATAAATTTATTTCCATATCACCTAAAACACACACATATTAGAAATATCCCTGTTTAAGTTTTACCCTGTGCATAACTTTTAACACAGTTTGTGTTCTTACACATTACATTGACACATCAGTAAAAAACTAAAGGCAAAACCTGCCCATTCTCCATACAAAATAACACTGTGCTGTAGTATCACTACTCTGTCCCAGAAATATTGTAAGAACTTATCTGGTTTTAAGGCTAAGATGAAAAATATTATGTTAAAATGGAAGAGGAAAAATAAAATTAAATTCATATGGACTTAAAAAGAATCCAAAGGCTTTGTCCTTTCTATATCACATTAGTTTGGGGGATTTTGAGCTTCCTTTCATATAATGATCAGAGAAGGAGCACACACGAAGGTTAATTCCTGCAATGGATTGAGACACAGCTTTGGAAATCAGAAAGAAAGGAAGACAGTCTCCCTGTGCTCTATCATACCAAGTTCCACACTGATCAAACGATGCTGGTTCCTCTGAAAGCAATTTTCTCATCCACTCCATTTCAACTTGGAAAATAGGAGAGCTGTGTTTACTCAGTGATGGTATATATTGTCCTAAACTTCTAAAGAAGCCCAAGTTCATACAGCTGGTTTTTTTAAATGTTTATTCCTGGATCATAGAATCATAGAATGGTTTTGGTTAGATGGGGCCTTAAAGTTCATCCCATTCCAACCCCCTGCCATGGGCAGGGACACCTACCACTAGACCAGGTTGCTCCATGCCTCATCCAATCTTGCCTGGAACAGTGCCAGGGATGAAAAAGCCACAGATTTTGATCTCCCAGGCTGCACATGAATAAATGAACCTCCAAGGCTGCAGTCCCCCTTGGAACAAAGGGAATGAAAAGACCCTTACTGCAGAAGAAGTTTTCTTTAGACCACTTCATTTCTTACTGCTACTCTGATATTTGTTAGAACAGAATCCAGCCTGAAACTTGCAGTCAGATATTTTTTTATTTGTACAGCTTCCTAAACCATTAAGGTGTAGGAAGTCATTCCACTGTATTTTTCTGCTCAAACTCTTAATGATAAAACATGTCTGAATGAGTAAACACATTTGTTGTACTCCCTTAGTACTTGTAATTATACTGGCAAGTAGAACTGCAATTTTCTAAGCAATGGTTTTCATTTGTGATAGTGTTTGGTGAAGTTTGATGGCTCAATAGCCTGATACACAAACAGTTTTATTCACTGAGTTACCAGTATGAATTCAGTGTGAGTATGAAGCAAAATATGTTCACCACTTGGATGTACACCAGTGAAGATCAGAGAGGCCAGGAATGTAACAGAAAGAGTAAGCATTTCATCAAAGATGATGAATGGAATTTGGAAGCATTCTCTTAAATGCTGTTGGTTGGAACAAAAATTC